TGCTTGTTGATGATATTGTTCCCTGCTGCATCATGTTTATTTGTGATTGATTAAGACGAGTCATTGTGGCGAGCGGCTGATTTGGATGAATTATAATCGTTCTTTTTGTTAAGTTGGCCACCTGCAGTGTTATGTATTGGCTCGGTGCGATAATGCCGTTAGCTACACACGGTGTTTCTTTTATTGATGTCACTTCGTATTCATCTTCTTCGTTCTTCTCTCCTATAGTTGAGAATGGCTTGTTTGGCTTGACTTCAATATTGAATGCATGGAACGGTGTAATTTTAATACGCTCATTGGCTAATAGGACATATTCATCGTCGTTATTAACTTTTTCTTTTCTTTCCTGTTGCACCTGTGTATGCATATTCTTTGTTTTGAAATATGCGTGTTGTCGACCGCCATCAATTTGAAGATTATGTTTATGAATTAGATCATTACCGATAATGCATGAACGCCATAATTTTGGAACGACATATACTCTATGTATACGTGTTGAGTTTGAGATGGTGATTGGAAGTGATAGGGCATATTTAACATACAGTTGTGATCTATCCGCCAATTGAAGACATAAATTTGCAGGAGGTAGACGTGCTTTTTTACGATAATATTTCGGCAGTTGAAGAAAAAATTGAAGATTAATTAATGTAAGCGATGCTCCCGAATCGATGAGTAATTGTGTTCGTCTTCCTGCTATCATACCGAATAATGTTAGTGGATTAGTATTGTTGATGTTAACGGTATGAATTTCGGCGGATAGTTGGACGGGATAATTTAGTTTGGAGCGCCATGGTCCCGTCCATCTTGCGCTCCATTGTCGTTTTTTGGATAGTACCCTGGTTGTTGTTGCGAATAAGTATTATATTGCTGTGGGCAGTTGTTTCTATTGTGGCCTTTCTTTCCACAGGCATAACATTTCGTTTCATATGTCGAGTATGTATCTCGTCGATTTGTCGTTGGGTAGGATGAGTAATTTCCCCATTGAGATGATTGATGATCGTTGCCATAATATTTATTTGTATAATTTCCTGTCGCGTATGTTTTCATTTGTCGGTTCTTTTGATATGCCGACGCTGCTTGAATTTCGTATGGCTCCTCGTTGTTGTATGTTGATGTGTTGTTTTGTATTCTATCTTGGTTAGAATTTCTATATACTTGTTTATTTCTTTGATAGAGAATTTCTTCAATTTTTTGTGCTTCTATAATGATTTCATCTAATGATCCACATCGAGATATTCCAATCATTGTTAATATATTATTTCTCATCTTGCACATTAAGTGTCGTATGAGATCATCTTCATTTTCATTTGGCTTTTGTTCTTGCCAGAGGGCACGAAGTCGAACGATAAATTCGTTAATTGTTTCATTTTCTTCTTGCTTACAATTTTTCCATTGTTGTTCTTGTCGTGCTCGTCTCATCGGTGAATTAAATTGATTAAGAAAAATTCCTATAAATTCTGTCCACGTTTGTGGTCGTCGATTTGAGGTACGTAATTGGCAGTACCATTCCAGGGCAGTTTCCCGAAGAAATTGAGAGATACCATTGAGTAATGCTTGATCATTCCAATGATTTATTGTTTCTGCATATTCCTTAACTCGAATAAGGAATTGACGAGGATTTTCCGAAAGATTTCCATTAAATGTTGGTAGCGCTGCTGATGGTGGAATAACAATTGTATGTGTTGTTTGTGGAGTGTATCCCATTGGTGATGTTTGTTGTGTAATAATATCAGCGTGGTGTCTTCGTTCTGTTATATTGTGGTGATCGGATTGATCATTGTCAAATGATTCATTGATTGTTGATGAATTAAGTTGTGTGTGGGGCGTGGATACGTTCTGTTCCATTAGTTGATTGTGATCATTTTTTTTGATGCTTTCTTTTCCAGCGCCTCACAAATTTTTTTCATTTCTGTTCTCATATCTCGAATATTTTCTGTTAATTGTTCCCATTGTTGTTGTTTTTCTTCTAATTTAGACGTTGTTGTGTCTTGCAATTCTTTTGTTCTTTTTTGAATGGTTTCAATTTGATTTATCATTTTTTCTTGTACATTCATTATTTCATTTGGTACGTTCATATTCATATTTTTGTTTTGTTCCATTATATTGAGGTGAATTTCATCTAGTTTTGTTTCGAGCGCATTCAGACGCGCATTGCTGTTGTTATTTGCTTCTGATAATTTTTGAACTGCTTGTTCAATTGTTACTTTTTCAGATGCCATTATTTTACTTAGCTTATTTGTTTATTTATTTTTGATCAGAAGATTGAGGTTTAGTTTGTCAGGGTCGCCATGTAACGATAAGAATGTTTTATCGTGATATCGAACTGTTTTATTTCAATCAACCTTCTCCTTTTATAGTTACACTTTTCTTTCTCCGGGGCGCGTCACTCAACCGGAGAGAACGAGAAAGAACACGACAAAGAGGAAGAGAGAATACACATGACAATGAGGAAGAAAGTCGTTATGTACATTGATTAAGATAGAACGAGTGCTTATATCGGCACAACGACCTATTGTGGCTTCAATTCATGCACCGGCTATGTTGGTATTTATATATCTTGATAATCGATTACGTCCACTTTTCAATCGTGTTGCACGACAAACAACTTATATCAGTAGTACAGATTTTGTACAACAACTAGAAAAACATCAAATACAAGGTCATCTATTGCCAACCACAAACTTTATTACAGCTGATATAAAAAATCTTTATACTATGATACCAAGAGGTGGCGCATTGAATGCACTACATCGATTTTGTGTCAAACATAGTAAAGAATATGAAATGGCCAATTTAAATGTGAATACGATTATTCGTTTAGCATGTCTTGTCTTAGAAAACAATTGTTTTGTTTTTGATAATAAATATTATAAACAAATTCGTGGTGGTGCAATGGGACCACCCTTTACAATGGCATTAGCTAATATCTACATGTATGAATGGGAACAATCATTGATTCAATATCAACAGGCAAGAAATGAACTCTATGGCAGGTAACTTTATTTGTAGAATATAAATATTTATCTATGATCATTCACTTATCTTTTTTCTTCTTCTTTATTTTAGATATATTGATGATATTTTTATGACTTCAAATGAATCTATTGAAAAGATTCAAGAATTACTTGAAAAGGAAGATAAAAAAGATCCAAATATCCGAATCAATTATGCCATTCAACAATCTGTCGAACTTCTTGATGTTTTTATTGAAAATATTCAAGGAAAATTGAAAACATCTGTTTTTCGTAAACCAGCTGCTGAACCCTACATACTTCCATATACATCTGATCATCCGCGTCACATTCATTCAAATACAATTTATACAGCATTACTTCGTGCAATTCGTCTATGTTCGGATGTAGATACATTTAATCAAGAACGATTAAACATTGAAATAGTCTTACTTCTAAATGGGCATCCACCAAAATTTATTAAACATCATTTTCAACAATTCTTTAAAAAAAATAATGTTACATCTATCTACAAAGATTTACATGAAGAAACATATCAACAATTTCATAAGAAATTACTTAATGAATGTCAGGTCAAGGATCCTTCATCGGAGCAACAACAACCACAACAGCAGCAGTCCAACAAGAAGAAAACTGATCAAAAAGACACTGGAAAACCAGTGAAAAAAGAACGACAACTCATTCATTGTACATATGAGAGTGGACCATTAAAAACATTCAATCGTGATTTTCGGACAATCTGGAAAAAACACTTCTGTTACACTAATTCAACATTAAGCAATGTTCATGTTATACTTGGAACACGAACTAATAAAACATTAGATCAGTTATTAGTAGAGAAGAAACCATCTCGAACTTTACTGACGCTTAAAGACGATATGCCTCAATCGACAACAACATGGATTACAAAATAAAATCACGTTCTAAACTCTTTTATAATGAATTTTTCATTTTTCATTATGTTAATAAAATAGAAAACAACTTTCAGCTACCTACAAAAGTGTTGTCATATTCTCTTTTTCTTACATTCACAATCATACTTGATAGTAAATATATTCTATTTCTTCTCTTTTCTATTCTAGATATAGCATTTATTACTTTTTCAACTTCACCATAACTATTTTCAAGTAAAATATCTGTACTAATTCCATGTAAGTATTTATACATATGATAACAAATGAATTTGTTGAAATTATGTTTCTTTCCTATTGTAGATTTCACTTATGATGAATCATAGCTCTCCAAACGAGCCATCATTAGATAATATGTTTGTTTCATATATAGAGAGAAATGAGCCAATCTATTTGCTGACTAAATATATAGACTAAGCTAAATCACTTTCTTTCTTTCCTGTTTATTATACATATATTCGAAATGTTCGAAGTCATAGACATACACTAAGCTAAATCGTTCTCTTTTCTTCACTTTCATATTATATATGAAGTCGAGTCAATCTATTTGCTGACTTGATTTATTTTAGCCAGCTATTTCTTTTTCCTATTCGTATGACGCTTTATATATGTATATATGCACATATATAATCACAATCAATGCAATAAAAACGATAATAGATTCTTTTGGTACGAAGGACTTTTTTAAGTGAGTTTTATTTTTCAATAATATGTTCGAATGAAAAAGAAAGAAATTCTTATTGAACCATAGTTTGAAACCTATTCATAGTTAGCATGTAGTTACCGATATTAGTAGTATCATGTAAGTATTCATTTAAATGGAAATGTCATTATCCTACGTGGCATTGGACAGGATGACTTAACACTTTCTAGTTGACTTGAAAAGATGAGAATTTCTGAAGAAGAATTTTTGTTTTCATTGTAGAATGTCAAAGTTAGGATTTTATGTCAAATCTCAAATTATGTATGAGTAGATTCATTGGAATGTACAATTAAAAAGAAGACTACAGTGTACATAGAAAATCGATTTCCCTTAATGTATCAAGTGACTCTGAAATCGATGGTGATGTTCCACTATTTCAACTGTAAGTTCTGATCAATCAACCATCTCGTCTTTACTCGCTGACTATTGGCCACTGGGATTCATCGATCATTAAACGTCTACCATTATATCTTACTAGTAATTCCATTTCTCGAATCGATATACAAAATTAGCATTATCTAAAATGTGATCACTGTTTCAATAGTGAACAATGGGCGGCATTTCTTCGTTCGTCATGGGCCAAACAATGTGAAGTTATGCAAATTATCATCAATAATCGATCAAGTATAGATGATCTAATCAACGTAGTGGTCAATATTCAAGTGACAAAGGCCATTTTTCAACCTGGTGAACGAGGCAATTATTTTCCTAGTCGATGAGCATTTACTATATGGATCACATCGAAGTATTCACGTAGTTTCACAGAAAAATTGACTTGTATTGAAACGATGCGGCTGTGGAGTTGTAAATAGAGAAATAAAATGTAAATTGTTAGTATATTAACTAGAATTGAAATTTTTTTTCCGTTTGTTTGTGTGTTAAATAATAGAAATAAAACTTGAAATTATGAATAAGATATTTGATTAAAAGAGATATGAAATTGTTTATGTAACTGGGACTATACATTAGGTGAAAATTAAACTTCATTGAGTATGTGGATATGGGTCAGTGTGAATAACAACAAATTGTTTTATTCTTAGTTGACTTAATACATTTTGTTATCTAAGAAAATTCATTTTTCTTATAAAGTTCCCCTCATATTTCAACATATATGATAACATAAATGAGACATCTATTCTGCTAAATAATATTTCTCATATTCTTATATCTAAATTAAATTCGTTGTAATGTTAGAAGAAAATATTTAAAGTATGACACACGATGAAAATATTAAATTTAATAATGATTTAAATTTAAATTTTAAATCGCATCGATCAATCGTATATGGTGCATATTGTATTGTTTCATTATTACAACCCTTAGCAACACCTAGCTGGTGTAGAAATCTTATGTAGAGGTGATATTGCAGCTGATGCCACGGTAGCTGCTCTTAATGTCACTGAAGCGTGTTCATATGGTATTGGTGGCGATTGTTTTGTTTTATACTGTAATCATCAAACAAAACGAATTTCGTTTTTAAATGGAAATAATCGAAATCCAAAAAGTTTTACATTAGATATACTTCGATAAATGGGAATAAGAGAAAAGCAGATTCCATCCAATAATTTAAATGCAGTTACAGGTACTGTTGATCCTTTTCTTTAGACTATTCTGAGATCAACCGAATCTATACAAAAATTGTTATATTTGACTCGCGCACATTGACCTTGTCTCATATATAACAAGAAACAAGTCAATCTATTTGCTTACTAATTTAAACATAGTCAATGGTTTCTTTTCCGTTTCTCTTTTTTTATATTATACATAAATTTGAACACCGCTCATGTTCAAGAACAATAATTTTGGCATGATTAGAGTCAGTTATATGCAATTATGACAAATCATATATTATTTCAACTGGAATTGAAAAGGCTATTTTGTTAGTGATGAAACTAATGTTTTCTTTTGGATTCCTAGTGCGAAGTAGAACTTTATCCATAAATAGAAATGGATTTTAAATGAAAAGCTTACAAAAAACAACAACAACAATTGTAAAATCAATAATATGACTTAAGCCTATCTGGATTCAGTGAAATATTCAGTTTAGTGACTGAGTTGACTGAATTTGAATTCAAGGTCTTCTTCGTTTTCTTCTTCTTCTAATATTTCGGCTGCTTGAATTTGGTAGGACTGTTCAAGTTGATCTTGTTCTAAGATCAATAACTGTACTTCTATGTGTCTTTCAAGTTCATCTTGTTTGACTTGTTGTGCTTGTAATAATTCTTCTTCTGTTTGATATTGTACCGAATGTTCAATATTGAGATGAAGCGATGTTAATGGTTGTGGTCGAAGGGATTGCTCATATTGTTCGAGTTGTTCTTGTGCTGCTCGTTCGATTGGGTCCATGCTTTCAAGTTCTAACAGTTGTAAGTGTTCATGAGGATCTATGTCATCGAGGTCTTCAGAAAAACCACGCGATAAATAATATTGATGTTCCCATTCGATGTCACTGTCGCTTCGGTATCTATGACGAGTTGCTATTGTTGGCGTCGATTGTCGTTGTTGTCGTTGTCTTTCTCGCTCTTGTCGTTGTTCCTGTTGTCTTTGTAGTCGCTCTTGCTGTTGTACCTGTTGTCTTTGTATTCGTTCTTGTTGTCTCTGCTGTCTTTGCTGCTGTTGCATTGGTGTTTCATTTTGTTCTCGTTGTTGTTGGCGTTGGCGGTCTCTTTGTTGTTATTGTCTTCGTCTTTGGGTTTCTTGTAGTTGTCGTTGACGTAGCTCCTCTCTTTGTTGCAGTTGCTGTTGCTGACGTCGTTGCTGTCGACGTTTGGCGATATCTTCTTCGAGCTAGTTGTCTCGTGGTTACGATAGGATGTAATGCATTGTTAGGATTTCCTAGTTTTTGACTTGGCATTCTCGTAGTCGTGGACCATTCCATGAGTGGTTGACTTGTAATCTGTATTTCGGCAGATAATAATTGATCAAGATTGATTTCTCCATCATTATTATCTAATGATGGCTCGTTTGGAGAGCTATGATTCATCATAAGTGAAATCTACAATAGGAAAGAAACATAATTTCAACAAATTCATTTGTTATCATATGTATAAATACTTACATGGAACTAGTACAGATATTTTACTTGAAAATAGTTATGGTGAAGTTGAAAAGGTAATAAATGCTATATCTAGAATAGAAAAGAAATAGAATATATTTACTATCAAGTATGATTGTGAATGTAAGAAAAAGAGAATATGACAACACTTTTGTAGGTAGCTGAAAGTTTTTTTTCTATTTTATTAACATAATGAAAAATGAAAAATTCATTATAAAAGAGTTTAGAACATGATTTTATTTTATAATCCATGTTGTTGTCGATTGAGGCATATCGTTTTTAAGCGTCAGTAAAGTTCGAGATGGTTTCTTCTCTACTAATAACTGATCTAATGTTTTATTAGTTCGTGTTCCAAGTATAACATGAACATTGCTTAATGTTGAATTGTCATAACAGAAGTGTTTTTTCCAGATTGTCCGAAAATCACGATTGAATGTTTTTAATGGTCCACTCTCATATGTACAATGAATAATGAGTTGTCGCTCTTTTTTCACTGGTTTTCCAGTGTCATTTTGATCAGTTTTCTTCTTGTTGGACTGCTGCTGTTGTGGTTGCTGTTGCTCCGATGAAGGATCCTTGACCTGACATTCATTAAGTAATTTCTTATGAAATTGTTGATATGTTTCTTCATGTAAATCTTTGTAGATAGATGCAACATTATTTTTTTTAAAGAATTGTTGAAAATGATGTTTAATAAATTTTGGTGGATGTCCATTTAGAAGTAAGACTATTTCAATGTTTAATCGTTCTTGATTAAATGTATCTACATCCGAACATAGACGAATTGCACGAAGTAATGCTGTATAAATTGTATTTGAATGAATGTGACGCGGATGATCAGATGTATATGGTAGTATGTAGGGTTCAGCAGCTGGTTTACGAAAAACAGATGTCTTCAATTTTCCTTGAATATTTTCAATAAAAACATCAAGAAATTCGACAGATTGTTGAATGGTATAATTAATTCGGATATTTGGATCTTTTTTATCTTCCTTTTCAAGTAATGCTTGAATCTTTTCAATAGATTCATTTGAAGTCATAAAAATATCATCAATATATCTAAAACAAAGAAGAAGAAAAAAAAAGATGATTGAATGATCAGAGATAAATATTTATTTTCTACAAATAAAGTTACCTGCCATAGAGTTCATTTCTTGCCTGTTGATATTGAATCAATGATTGTTCCCATTCATACATGTAGATATTAGCTAATGTCATTGTAAAGGGTGATCCCATTGCACCACCACGAATTTGTTTATAATATTTATTATCAAAAACAAAACAATTGGTTTCTAAGACAAGACATGCTAAACGAATAATCGTATTCACATTTAAATTGGCCATTTCATATTCTTTACTATGTTTGACACAAAATCGATGTAGTGTATCCAATGCGCCACCTCTTGGTATCATAGTATAAAGATTTTTGACATCAGCTGTAATAAAGTTTGTGGTTGGTAATAGATGACCTTGTATTTGATGTTTTTCTAATTGTTGTACAAAATCTGTACTACTGATATAAGTTGTTTGTCGTGCAACACGATTGAAAAGTGGACGTAATCGATTATCAAGATATATAGATACCAACATAGCCGGTGCATGAATTGAAGCCACAATAGGTCGTAACGGTGTACCAATCTACAAGTAAAAAGATTCAAATAGAATTGAATCAATAGTAGGACATGTTTTGTTTCTACGAAAGAAAAATACTTACTTTATGTGGTTTCGGTAGAAAATAGAGATGAGCCAATTCAGTATGAACTAATTTTGGATACATTGCCTCATATTGCTTTTTAGTTATCAGAGGTTTCTGTGCATTATAAAGTCGATTTAGTAATGATATAACTTGTTCTAAATTAGCTGCTAACGGTGAAATACCCGATGTAATCTGTTCATAGGCTTCTGTTTCTTGCATATATTGATGAATTTTCGATTGATAATCATTGGCATCACCCAAATGAAATACTTTACTCTTATCGGTTCGTCGTAAAGTGACTTGTTGATTTTGACGTAAATAACGACGAATATTAATAATTAATTTACGTTCACGTTTAGCACGTATATATGATTTGCGTGATAATTTTTTTGTATAAAGACGTTGAAGAAGATTTTTAATATCACTGGAAAAGTCTTGGATACGTTTCTCTGATATTGAATAACAATTTTGATAAAAGAATTCTGTAATTTTATCAATAATAATTTTGTGTTCTTGTTCAATAATTTTTTCTTTTGTTCCTTGACGATAAAATTGAATTTGACATGGTGGTACATATTTTGGACCACGAGCAAGTAATGCCAATTGTTCTGATGTTAATTTTGTAAAAACTTCAATAATAGGTGATGATGGAAGAATATCCCAATATAAATTAAGTCGATAACTGCTCCGACGATGCCAATGTTTTCGATGATCATCGGAGCGGCGATAGAAAAAATGAATACGTCGTTGTGTTTGATATTGTGTATGTTGTCGAATATGTTTTTGTCGTTCTTCAATGGCTTTGATGAATCGTTCAATGTAGACTTGTCGACTTGGATCTTTTATCATACGATTGATTAGATTCTGTTTTTCATCTTCGCCATATTGTCGATAACCCCGTACAGCTGCTTCAGCCATGTTAATATAAAGTTTCATAAGATCACATTTATTTTGTGCAATAATTTTCCTGTGATGTGTTGATATTGTTGTTCTTGTATTATCATTATAGATAGGTCTGGCTAATTTATTTTCTATTTTTGAATATGATTCATCAAGATAATCGAATGATTTGGGTAGTCGTTTTATATAGAGATGTTGTTTTAATATATCCACCTCTTCTTGTGATTTACATTCATTAATAGTTGCTTGCCATATAATTTGCATTGACGTAATTTCATCTTGTGTTGGTTGACAATCATAACATACTTTGACACAATGATGATCTTTAGCACTAGTTTTATATAATATTTTTCGATGTTCATACTTTTGTGATAATTTATGTTGACCTTTACGTACAATAGCTAAAATAGCAGCCCATAATCATTGTTCATTAATGACCATTGAATCTTGTTGTTGATAATTTTTTAATAATAAAGCATGCTGTTCAACATGTTCTTCGGCATCTTGTAATTGTTGTTTAATTTTGTGTTGATATTTTTCCGTGGATTTTAATGATTGTTGATAATCCGATGTTACTTGATTTTGTTGAATGATTGTATTTGATAATGATGATGTCCAACAATGATATGTTTCGCCATAGACAATGTAATTTTGCCAAAGATCTTGTTCTAATTTAAAATAATATACTCTATCTAATAAACGAGTATGTTCACGAAGATAATGAAGATTTTCTTTTGATGTACACCATTTTAAAATATCTTCTCCACCAACAAAAGCAGCCTTTAACATTTGTTTTAATTTTTTATCAGTCGCATTTAAATAATAATGTAATGATGTTGTTGTTTGTTGTTGATTTGTATTCGACTGAATTATATTTTCATTTTCCAGATGTTGCTGTTCTTGTTGTTGTTCTTGTATTTTCGAAGAAGATCGTTGTTTCTTTTTTGTTGAATCTTCTTTCATTGATAATTGACTTAATGATTTGATGATAGATGCATCTCTTTTACGTTTTGTTAATGTTCGTTCAGGATTATATGGACCTGGTAATGTCTATTAAATAAAAAGAAAGTAATTATAGTCATTTTAAATAAAATAATTTATTCTTACTGCTGTATCATTGAGAGGAATTATTTCTTCCATGTCTACATCTTGTGCTTGATCCTGTTCTTGTAGTTGATTACTAAGTGTATACATTCGTATAGTTGCATCATCTAATCCTTGTTTACGAAGTTTTCGCTGATAACGTCGTAATTTTCGATTGCAAGGTTGTTTCTTCTTTTTTTCTGATGTTGTTGTTGTTGTTGTTGGTGGTGGTGGTGGTGGTTGCTGTCCCGTTAAGATCTGTGTGGGTGATAGTAAATCATACCAACGACCTTGTGCATCTTGGCTAGGTGTTTGTATCGTTTCTTTATTGTGGTTTGTATTTATATTCATAATAAATATTTCTATCTAGAATGACAAGAAAATGTTTGATTAGACTATAGTCTAATGCCAAAACAAAGTATCTACTACAACTTTATTAAATCAAATGAACAAAAAATGAACAGGGTGTGGGTGTGGTGTGTTTTTTGAGCTAGCTGTTACGCGTTTCAACTTTGCTTAAGGGTCTCATCAGACGGCTTTGGTTATATTATATATAAAGTCTGTTCTAATGATTCGAGAATCACAACCAAGAACTAGATAGATAACAGATCCATTCATTCGAAAAAGAATTAATAGATATATATTTTTAGGGTGTGTTTTTTGAGCTAGCCGTTACGCGTTTCAACCTTGCTTAAGGGTCTCATCAGACGGCTTTAATATTGTTGTTGCTGTTCGATGATGGCGAGTAGGATTTGAAACATGTTGCTTAATCTTAAGTCTGATTTTTAATATCATTAAGAAAATATGGAACACTATTCGTGTTCGTTCAATGGGGTGGTTTTGCAGTAGGGACGATGAGTCTTATGGTCTCCGCTAAAGGACTTTTCAGGTGGTTCTGTGTTGGTAGTTATTAAATTGATTGGTAGATCACAGATAAATGACTCAATGTATGCAGAAATCAAGGAATTACCAAGAATTTCATAAAATGCAACTGCTATATATTTTTTAGACCAATGTGTAGCGTAATGAATGATGTGTTTTGAAAGGTAACTATACCCTGTTTCGCCTTTGCTTAACGAACTCACCTGGTAGCTGTATTTTTCGGAAGTATCCGAGTTATGCGGAAATGAAAGTAATAACTGATTCGTTTTGCATTGAGATGTATCTTATTGGATTATTTCAAAATGAATTCTGAGGAAGTAAGATCATTGTCATCGGAGTTATACTGGGATATAGAAATTATGTGAGAATCAATTATATTGGGAATGACTGGTAGGTACTTTGGAATTGTTTATCGCTGCATCTTTGGATAGGGTGTGGTGAGGTTGTCTGTTTCTAATAATTAGCTGTATATGAGTAAGAAGCTGCCAAATTGAATTTTTTTATTTACATGATATTCTGATTCACTGAAAAAGTGAATGATGACATCATTTTATGATAATGTTGTTTGAGTGGAATCATATGCACATTCGTGACGATGCTGCTATAGAAGGAGCTATTTGGGTGATGATATTTGGTGTCTTAGCTGCAGATTTATTCATTTTTAAGATCTAATATTATATTTCATGTGCTATTTTCAATTGAGATATGTTTTATTTATTTTTAAATCACAGCATAAAATTCCGAATGACTCAAGTTAGTGTCTGGTTAGTTTTGCTTGAAGATTTTATGTTTGTTTACCAGTCTCATGTTGCGTTGTGGTCTCGTGGTTGATTCCCGCACGTCGATTATATTTGATCATATTGGGCATCAGTTCCTGTTTTAAGTTGCGATTCAAAGAAGTTCCGACAATTAGAGCAGTATTGGTGACGTCGGTTCCATGAAAAGTACGCATCCACAATTCATGAATATGATATTGATTTTGGGTGAGTCTTTGTTCATGTCTTTTATGAATGATGAGATTTTTTCTTTTTGTTATTTCGTTGTTGTCTGTAGGTTGCACAAGCTGATTTTGCATATTTTTGTCACTGGTTTGATCGGTAGTTGAGCTTTTGGCTGTTCTATTATATATTTTATCTGTTGATTTTGCCAATAACTGATGACGTAAATAATCGAAGTCATCAGGGTTATTGAACATAGGCAAAATGAAATACTTTGATAAATATTTACTGAATAATGTAGTGAGTCGCCAATGGATATGTCTTGGCGAGTACCTATAAGTCACATAGAAAGAGTAAAAAACGTGAATGAATACCGGACATTTACCCATTATAGAGAAACATGAGTTTCATTTGTCGTATTTCTTCTTCGAATTCAGATACGGCTGTTGAATAACGAACTGCTCTCGTAATAGCAGTATCAACAGTGTTTCGGAAAACATGATCAGGGTGATTTGATCCAAATGGCACGACATACGGCTCAGCTGCTTCTTTATGATACACTGAAGTTATTAAAGTGCCCTTTCTGTTCTCAATGAGTACATCAAGAAATGGAGCACTTCTACCGATTTGTCGCACTAGTTTAATGTTAGGATGAAAGTTATTAGCTTCATCTAACATTTGGTCAATAGATTCTAGTGAGTCGTTCGACGTAAAGAAAATATCATCAACACATCTAAAATGAGACATTAAATGCACAAAATATTCTTTTATGAACCATGTTAAATACCGCCCATAGATTTCATTGGATACTTTTAGTCGGTGTACAAGTTGTTTCTCCCATTTCCACATGAAAATATTAGCTAGTGTTAAAGTAAATGCGGAGCCCATCGCACCACCAATGACTCGTCGATAGAATTTCTTCTCATAAACGAAAACGTTTTCATTAATGAAGATAAGAGCTAACTTTCGAATTATATCAATTGGAATATTTTGAACTTTTTGATAGTCATATTGAAGGAGAAATTCAATTAGAATATCAAGTGATTCTTCTTGTGGTAACATCGTATATAAATCTGTAATATCAAACGTACACAAATAAGTTTTTGGTATGAGATGCCCATTTGTTGTGTACGCTTCTAAACGATGAATCAAATCAACTCCATCAATTATTGTGGTTGAACGCGCATGTTTATCAAATATCGGTTGTATTAATTTGTCCAAAAACTTTGAAATTCTTGTTGTTGGCATATTCAATGATGATACAATAGGCCTCAATGGTGTTCCTGTCTAGTAAAATGCGTGTAAGAGAGATACGTAAGAAAAATAAAAAATGAATTACATTATGAGGCTTAGGAATGAAATATAAATAGGCAAACTGAATTTTTTCTCGCTTCGACATCATTTTATCTAGTTGCCATGACAGAATATATTTTTTTGAACGAAGATCATTGAGCAAAAGAATAACTTTATCAAATACACTCCATAACGGATTCGAATCTAATTCAATATAAGCGCCGGTTTTTTGTCGATAAGCTTCTGCTTTCTTTTCATAATCAACTGAATTGCCAATATGAAAAATTCCACTTTTATCTGTTTCGCGAAGAATATAGTTTCCTTTCTTTAGTCTATGTTGAATCGATTTCATTAGTTTGAATTCTTTTCGTGTTCGATATATGTTTAGATAAGATAATGGAATCATATATTGTTGATGTAGACTTGTTTCCAAGTGTTGAGAAAACTCTCTGATAATTGTTGCTTTTAGTGCAATATGACGCTCACAGATAGGATAACGAGTTATCACATTCATAATGTTCTTATGTTCTTCCTGTACATGTTTTTCTTGATGTTTATAAGAATGAAGAGAACTTTGAGTCGATCTGATATAATTACGTCCTTGAAATAGAAAACATATCAGAACATGAATAGATAAGAATAAATTAACGGTTGAGGTAATACTATAAAAGAAAGGCATCTACTGACCACTTTTGGAAAGATAATCTAATTGAATTCGATTCAATGATATTTTAGGAACGTCGACAATGATTTGTGGATAAACATCGACTATTTGCTGTTTCGATAATAAATGACGACGATGCTGACGTGCTAATGTTACATGGACCCATGCTTCTTTGTAGCGAATTTTACGTATTAATCGATTGGTATAATGACTCAAATAGCATTTCAATAAAGTCATGAATATATCTACTTGAATATGTTGAGAGTGTGGGTGTGGGTGTGGGTAAAGACAAGATCCACACCCACACGCACACCCACACCCACTCACACCCGCGAAGAGAAGCGCGTCACTCACACAACGCACCCGCACCTACACCCTATCATTCATAATCGTAACTCCACATATGGTCGCTCAATATCATTGATAATGTCTTTTGCATCGATCAATGCAAGAATCAGCTGATTAGCGGTAGTTTGGAATCAATTGAGCTTGTTCTTATTATTTGCCCTGTCACTAATAAGGACAACACACTCTGTTAACAAAATATCTCAGATAATCTGTGAATTTCACGTTTCTCTTTCAGTTTCTGTCGAAAAATAAAATGAGGCATTTTCTGCCAAATTTTTAGTAAGTACCACTCTTCAAAACAATCGACAATCCTAGCCAACACACACATCCGCATAGCAACAGTGGGCAGATTTTCAAAAAAGGAAATTTCCTAACTAAATATGCATATTTCAGAAACTACAGGGATGAAAAATTCAATTTTTAGAAAATATCAGAAACTTTCGTGATTAATCCAATATTATTCACCATGAGCCAAAACCAAAATAAAGCAAGGGTGTGGGTATATGATTTTCTCTTTCCACACACCCACACCCGTTTCGAATTTAAGTCTTGGCTTTATTCACAAGCAATGCATGCTTTTGTTCATTTAAAACGTCTTTAAAAAGTTCCACAAAGGTATTAGCTAAAAGTAATCAGATAGGTTGGATAAGCAACACGATTTTCGTAAACGACGTAAACTTTACTGCCTTTTGTGTCGCCGGACACGCTGTTATATCGTCGGCCGTCAATGTTTTCATTTTTCTTCGGTGGCCGACGTAAGGTTCTGTCATACTGACAATCATACACATGCCCTGTCAAGACTTGAGCCAAGAAGACCTGACGCTTCCCGTTCGACAATAGATGCGCATACAAGTCGCACGAGTACGAAGCATTTTGTGCAAAATATGTGCCGATGCCCCACATGCCGCTTTCACAAAATGTCATGTCGAATCCATATTCGCCGAGGTAAATTTCACTAGGCGGCGCGTTTTTCGTCCCGTGGAAAAGTTCCATTTCGACCTGTAAATCCGGCATTGAATGCAGCTCGTTTCGAAGATTTCGATGACAAAATGCATAATGATTCCACATGCGTGGATTTTGAACGCGTTCCATTTTGTGAACTTCAATATTGGGTATCGTTTCCTTCATTCGGGTTTCGATACGCATGAAATTTGGATCGTTCCATGCCGATTTCAACTAATCGGCATTCTTCTTGTTGATCGATCCATTCGCTTGGCAGTCTTAAATCTTCATCATTGCCGATTTGCATTCTTAATATATTCTGAGTGTAGTCAAAGATTTTGAATTTGGCTTCTGCCACACCTCCCCGCAAACCTTTCAGTATCATCGAAAGTTGTTCAGTGCTTTCAGGTTCAAATTCGATTTGAATTCGCTGTTGATACCCAATTTCTGCGATTTTACTCTTGTGCTGATCGAGATTTGTATCCAGCTTGACCGAAACTGTCTCAGAAACTTTGACTTCCTCAATGGCTAAGCGAATTTTGTCTTCGGCTTCTTGTACAGATTGGTGACAAAGGCCAAACAGATTCCACTCGCCTCCGCCTATTTCTGATACGCAATAAAAAAGATCCAGCGGATTTTGGCTCATCACCACTGGCGCCGTTCTTTCCTGTTGTTGAACTGGATGGCGAATAATGTCGCATTTTTTTCCCGTGTCCTTTCTGAGCTGATAGCCAACGACGAAACTATTTTTCAGCGCAGCAGGATCTTCGATCACGATTTTCTTCTTATCTCGATTAAAATGAAGCTCATAGTCAACGAGAGTGGCACTCATTAAATTATCACATCTCAGTTTCACATTTTCAATGAAACATTCTGCATGACAAGTGTCACAGGCGTCCTTCTTTCTAAAAATATTCCAAATAGTACTGTGAGGGACGTTGTTGGGTACATTCGGTATCTCTGAATTTCGAAATCGTAGAAATGCGTTTTCGATCTGTCGTGTATCATCCTCATTGTACATTCTCTCACCAGACTTATCTTGCCAACACCATTTAACCGTGGATGGGGCCGCTTGACAGTTCATCATGTCGTCGTCGTCATTGTTCAAATGTGGAGTTCGGTGATCAACGCGAATCTCGTATTCAAACGCAGTTGAAACTGCCTCGTCGACATCGATTAGAACGATGTTCCTCAACTTCGATCGCGGATAATTGGCGAAAAATTGTTTTATTGCCCGAACGACAACATTCGCACAAACGACCAGTGGAAAACCCTTGATTTTCGAACCGATGGCCGGTAAAGCAACGCTTGAGCAACTTTCACTTTCGGCGACTTCTAAAGCTGACAAGACACTGGCAAATAGCAGCGGATGTTTATTTTGATAACCATCGCTGTAATGAGGACTTATTGCGTGAATAACACATTTGAATGGAAGATTTCCGGCCGTTGTTTTCACCGCTCGGCCAACAGGAATTGGTAAGTCGCCGTTGTTCGAAATCAATTCTTTGCATTCTTGATCCAATGCGGGCCCAGCTGCTTTCGCAATCGCTTTAGCAACACCGCCAGCGTGCTCCAAAGACCCATTTGCTCCGTTGACGATGGCGTCGACGTGTTCGACCTTGGAAATGTCGCCTATCTCGACGATTATCGTCTGACCGCGACTATTTTGAAAAATGATTTTTACGAAATTGGTCTTTTCATCATTCGAATCAACGTTGATATAACGAATAACTGTATTTGTTTCTTCTTCCATCCTTAATGCTACTTTGTAATTGTTTGCACGCAAGAAATCGGACTCGACCAGTGCAAATCGTAAGCGACGCTCGACAACCTGCTCTTGCACACGTTTAATAATGTTGTCGATCTTTTCTTTAAGTTTTATAACGTGATCTAAAGGACCACGAAATATCAATACTTCACCACCTCTCGATTCGATGAAAACTTCTTGTGCTCTGGGCCCGTCGATTAGCGATTTTGTCTCTTCGTCGATGAATCGACGAATATTCTTTGGAATTCGAATGAATTTCGAACGGCGTTTCGGTCGCACCTGCTGTTCGCTTGCCAAAGTGAGCATCGCTGTCTGAATCTCAGCGACGAGCATTTTCGATCGTGCCGAAATGATGATCGAATTCGGATCACGCTTCAACTGGATATTCGCGTCCCATTCGCTTTCGAATTCTTTGAGCGACGGCGATTTTGTCACGATCAATCTTTGAAATATCATGTCAGACTCCCCATCAGATGGCGTCCAAACCAAGAATTCTCCGATAAGATTTTCGCATTGTTGGAACACGTTCGAAGTCGCATCTTCGTTGAACCCAACCACTGTTAGTGTATTTTCGGGCTGTGTTTNAAGTCAAATTATTCGAGATTTACATTAAAAAAGTCGCGTTCAAGAAATAATTTATCTTAGTTCAAGCGACTTGCGCTAGAGCCATCTTTGGAAAAAAGGTTCAGCTTAAAAAAAATGGTGCAACATCGAACTCTCTTAAACATCCGGAACTATTTATTATCTGACATGGTTTTTTAAACTAGCTAGAACCCTCGATGGTTTATTAATAAACGAATGAAACCTTAAAAGGTTCAGTATCTTCGCTAGAACCATAAATGGTTCCATATGGCACCATTTTTTTTAAGAGAGTAGTGCGACAAATTGGTAGAAGTGTTCCATTTCTTGATGTACTCATTGAGAATAGAAAAGGCACTTTAACAACTTCAGTGTATCATAAAGAAGCAGCTAAGCTGTATGTCGTACCATTTGGATCAGATCACTCTGATGATGTTTTCCGAAACACTGTTGACACTGCTATTACGAGAGCAGTTCGTTATTCAACAACCTTATCTGAATTCGAAGAAGAAATACGACAAATGAAACTCATGTTTCTCTATAACGAGTATGTTCCCTGTATTCATTCATGTTTTTCACTCTTTCTATGTGACTTATAGGTACTCGTCAAGACATATCCATCGGTGGCTCACTACATGATTCCGTAAATATTTATACAAATATTTCATTTTGCCTATGCTCAATAACCCTGATGACTTCGATTATTTACGTCATCAGTTATTGACAACATCAACAGATAAAATATACAATACACTGAAAAAAAAGGTGTCACACGAAACCCTTGAGGTTTCGTCAAGGGGGAAAGAGCGCGACTTCCGTACTTCCTTTGTACTCCCCTGTACTTCACTCGTACTCCCCTGTACCTCTCTTGTATTTCCCTGTACTTCCCTCGTACTTCTCTTGTACTTCCGTGTACTTCCCTCGTACTCCCTCGTACTCCCTCGTACGTCCTTCGTACTTCATTGTACTTCCATTGTACTTCGCTCATACTTCCATTCTACTTCCATCGTACTCCCTTGTACTCCTCTCGTACTTCCTTGTACTTCCATTGTACTTCCGTGTACTTCCACGTACTTCCATGTACTTCGATCCAAT